AGATGGAAAGAGAGCGAGCCAGCCGGAGAGGAAGAAGGAGAGGGCGCTTCTTCGAGCAGGTGGCACGCAAGGGGTTAATGCACTGATCAGGGCTTCTAGACACACACACACACACAGACACTCCCCCTCCCCTTTCTCACACACACAAAGACGCACCGGGAGTTTGCTTCTGGGTTCTAAAGGCCACCGGTTTCCACCTGTGTCTTAGATGGGGAGGAGGGAAAGCCCCTTTCCTTTACTAGGACAGGTGGCATTATTCCTCCTGCTGCTGCTCCTACCTGCTATGGCTCTTATCCAAGAAGAAGTGCTGATGCTACTACTATGGCAACACCTAGTACTGCTGCATCCTATACAAAAGGACTTCTAGTGAAAAGCTACTCCTCCTCTTTTTTTTATTCGTGTCAGAGCGTCGCCCAGTTTTAAGTATGGATGTATAGGAAGTAGAGGTAAAACCTGAAAACAAATTAAAATGTTAAAATACTACCACCAAAGCTCTGACTGATGACAATGATCAAGAATACTTAAACAAGAACTACTAAACCCCCTTCTCCTCTTGCCTTCACATTTCCCCAACATCAGGGTCTTTTCCAAGGAGTCTTCTCTTCTCATGAGATGGCCAAAGTATTGGGGCCTCAGCTTCAGGATCTGTCCTTCCAGTGAGCACTCAGGGTTGATTTCCTTCAAAATGAATAGGTTTGACCTCTTTGCAGTCTAGGGGACTCTCAAGAGCCTCCTCCAGCACCACAATTCAAAAGCATCAATTCTTCGGCGGTCAGCTTTCTTTGTGGTCCAGCTCTCACTTCCATACATCACTACAGGGAAAACCATAGCGTTGGCTATGCATTCTGGTTGTGACTTACTACTGGATTTTGGTAATTGTCTGCTAAAAAGCTACTATTGGTGCTGTTGCTGCCACCACCGCCCAATTTCTCTACCTGAAGCTGAAGGAGAAGATGGCACCATTCTGTAGCTACTCCAGCTACAGAAGCTGACCAGATTGGTCATTGAATCTTACTTCAACATGGGCATGAGAAATTGGCAACTGTTACACACACACACACACCTCAGGTGGCAGGGCTGCAGCTAGGGTGGAACAACTGGAGCTCAGCCCCCAGGACATCAACATTTAGATGACCCCAAAACCTGAAGGTGAATCTACTGACAGACCTTAGGAAGATACATGTCAGCACCTTCTGACCCTATTCCAGCATGCATCTCCTCCTCTGTTACTACTGAAAAGATCCATCCTTCAAATAAATAAATAAATAAATAAATCCATCCTTTAACATGAAATCAACACCTATCCAACAGGATTCAGTCTTGTAACCAATATTCAGCCAGTGGTGCCAACCTTTAGACTTACGCTAGTTGAACTACACTAATGCCAGAGGGGACCTGCAGAGTTTCCCCTCCTTCATCAAAGAAGACAAACATTCTAGGTGGCCATTTGGGTTTCAACGGATGCTGGGGATGCGGAGTGGCGGTGGTGAGTCCCAGAGGCCCTCCAGCCTTCCAACGAGGCTTTACTGAGGGAAGCCACAGGCGTCTTAGTGTCTTGTTTGTGATGCTGGCCTAGCTTGTGCATGGGGGATTCTGGGAGTTGTAGTCCAGACAAAATCAGACTGAATGGTAGAGTAATTAACCACTGAATCATTGAGGTGAGAGTAGGTGCCCCCTTACCTTTCACATATGTTAGAGACAAAGGAAGGTATATCATACTGAGTCAGATGGCTCATTCATCTCATTTCTAACTGGTAGTAATTTTCTCTAGGTGGGACTGAACTGGGGGCTTTCATACACAAAGCAAGCACTGTGTCCCCTAAGTTGCTGTTTTTAGAAGTTTATAGGTGTATGATTTGACTACATTTGAAAAGAATCAGAAGGCAAAGCATTTAGATTTCATAAAGAGCCCCTGCTTCCCCCTCCCCACTTTCGTAATTCAAACACTGGGACAAATTGAACCATTAAAAGGCAGCAAGCAAGCACGTTTCGGAGTTCAATAGGATTCTTCATCAGGTCTGGTACTATGCAAAGCAATATAAAGGGACAGGAAAGGATATTGGTGGCTGTGGTGGGAAAATGGCCCCCATTAATCTACCACAGACTTCCTTTATTCCCTCTATTCTATCCACAGGGGATGAAGCCTATCCTTCTGCCTTACCCTGTTTTCTTCTTCTTTTGGTAAATGTCTAGCGGGAAGAAGTTAACAGCCATATGCCACTGGATATTGCAGCAAAAACAAAAACAAAAACAAAACAAAACAGTCCACCCTCCACCCTCCCCCAAGAGAACCGCCACTTGGTCCAAGGTCCAAATTATCTAGAGTTGCCAATAAATCTTGATCTTCCTCTTGCCCACTTTTGCTGAAAAAATAAGTATGAAAAGGAGTAAATGCAAAGAAGCAGAAGGTCCCGTACAAGGATTTAGTGCCTCTCAGTCTGCTTGTCAAAGCTGACACCTAAATTTTGCTTCAGAACTGGTTTGAGAAGAAGTACTAAATCTAGCCACAGCAAGACCACAGTCCCCATGGATGAAATAAAGAATGGAGGCCGAACCTTAATTCTAACTCTAAACAGCGGTCCCCAATGTTGGGCCTCCAGATGTTCTTGGACTTCAACTCCCAGAAATCCTGGCCAGCAGAGGTCATGGTGAAGGCTTCTGGGAGTTGTAGTCCAAGAACATCTGGAGACCCAGGGTTGGGGACCATTGCTCTAACACATTAACAATTTGTATTAAAGAAAAAGGAATACATAAAGGTTTTCTGGGGGTTGGTGTTGGTGTTTCCCTCTTGTAACTTTCACCCCATGTCTGTCAAATTACCCTGGAAATTTTTTCACCCAATAGCCTTATGAGGCCTATGGCGAGGAACCAATCAGAATGTTGAGGGAAAGGCAGGAAGTTTGAGGAGGACTCTTTCTTTGCTTGTAGCATGAAAAATGTAGAGAGAGACAAGTCAATTCTCATGTATTGCCCATGTTTGCCTGCTATGAAAGGTTTATTTACCATGCATTATTTGCGCATCTCAAGCTTATAAACACACCTTACACTGGTGTGGCAATTATTCCTTGGGAGGTCGAAAAGCTCTTTTTGGCTTCCATGCATCATAACTTAAAAAAAAAATACCTAGAGAGCTACCCTGTTAAAAATCCTATGCTGCTTTGTATGCCATTTAAGCATACTTGCTTTGTCAACTGGCAAAATATTGTGGGGTACAGCAAAGGTACGGTCAAGGAGTGATGGCTGTTGCTTAACTCCTGAAAAAGAAGAGGCACTTCCTGGAATTATATCTACTTGGCTAATAGATCAACATGACTCACCATTCTAATACAAATCAGCTTCCTCAGCAGAAGAAGTACATACAAAGAGGAGTAGATGACAATAGATTTATTTCTCAAGAACAGATGCACTCATCACCAGGTTACAGCAGTCTGACAGATGACATAAACACTCAAAAAAAATACTAGGTGGTATTGATATCCTGGGACTATATACAATTAGTGAAAGAGCATTGGAAAGTTACTCTCCCAGATGACTTACTGCCTTTCCAAGCTGTACAAAATAAACAGAACAAAGATACCTAGGAGGTCAGCAAGTCAGAATCCCCGCTCAGCACAAAATCCACAACATGCAGCCCGTCTGAGTTGTGTGTGCAATTTGTCTCAGACTGAATGATGTGATTGGCAGTTTTATTGCTGATTCCCTGCCTAACAGTACCCAGCATGGAATTTGCTTGGCAGAAAGTGACTACCTCTAGCTTTGGAACCATCTACCACCACCATTCATCCTCTGACAGAGGGACTGACTCTTAGAAAGCGATGTCCATGACAGAGAAAAAATTCCCTGCCCAGGTAGGGATGAACACAGAGCTAAATGAGTCAATGGCTTGGTTCTGTATAATTCACTGCTCTTTAAAATGTATCGCTTCATTGATATCTCACCTTTCCTTCAGTTATCTCAAAGTGGTGTACCATCTGTGGTCCCATTGCCTTTATCCTCACAACAACCCTGTGGGGTGGGTCATTCTGGGTTAGAGCCACTACTCTAAGATCATTCACAGTGTTTCACAGCTCAGTAGGGATTTCAACCTGGATCTCAAGTCCCAGTCCAAAAGTCTAGCCATCTTTAAGGTTAGATGGTTCAATATTCTTTAGTAACTAGACTCCTGAGCAGGAAAAAAAAATCATTTTGTTTTTCTCCTCTCCCCTCTTTTGCCTATTGTTTTTCTTCTGTAAGGCACAGAGCCTTTGAAGAAGAGAACATGAAGGCCCTGTGAGTAGGTTTGAGCTGTGCCGATTGACTTTAATAGCACTAATTCAATTTATGGTTGCTGGATGGTCTGATCCAGACGTGTCACTCGGAATAGGTGTTCAGACACTAAAGGACTCTGTGTTGTTTGATTTTTTGTAAAAGCCTG